GGATCCCCCCCCCCCCGCCCCACTCACCACTACCATCCCAAACTAACAAAGTCCGGCGAATTACCTGCTCCTTAAACAGCTGCAGCTGATGCGCCTGCTTGAGCTTTTGCTTGCCACTATGCCAGGCGTCGTCGAGGCCCAGCTGCAGCCTCTCCAGGTGACTCAGGCTCTCGCGTACAAAGTCACCGGTGGGCACAAGCTTGCGGCCGTGCTCGCCAAGCGCCTTGAATGTCTCCTGCCTGCCGTCGATCTCGGCCTTCCTCTCCTGGTGCAGCTCGAGGAGCGCCTCCGCCTCGATGATGCTCGTCGGCGGCTCAGCCTCGTTCATGCGCTTAATTGCGTCAGCTACCCAGATCTCGAGCTCGCGCAGCTCGGCTCGGAACTTGTGGAGAGTGTAAGCCTGACTTAGGGATGCCCGCCGATCGTTCGTCAGCCGTTGCAGCTCCTGCCAGTTGGCCTCGAGTTCCGAGAGGATGCCGTTTATCTGAGCGGCATTCTCGGGATACTTTTGCGAGAGCTTGCGAGCCTCCAATTGGTGCTCCTGTCAAAAGCGGTATGCTCGTGTTATTGGTGCATGCGGGTGCTTAGTCGAGGTCGGCCTAGTGGGGACTTGTGGGGACTCGTGGGAATTAATATGCCGTCCGACAGCCGTGGCTTTATCATTGTGTCCGTAAAGCGGAAATTCGTCAACGTCTGTCTCCAAGTCCAATAAGCTCATTACTTTCCGAATAACCGTCTAGCCACCTCACCGACACATCACATTGAATTTCATCTCTATATTAAAACAACATTAATACTAGACACGTAGAGGGGGGGACTAAATCGTCAAGGCCGATTCGGTGGAAAACGATAAGGTTTCGTTAATAATTATTAGCATAAAATTGCGCAACGACAGAACGCAAACTGACTCTTAATTTGCCCTCGATAGCTGTCATGTCCCTCTCCATTGTCTCTTGCTTTCTCTGAAGATGCTCGACACCGGCCAAATCCTTGCCTACATCCGTCGTGTTCATTGCCAATGACTTTTCCACGACTCTCTGATTCGTATCATCGATATCTCGATTGAACAAGTGAATTTCAAGGGCTCCCGCTAAAGTTTCTCGGTACGTGCCAAGTGCGCCCTGCAGGCCTCGCCACTTGTTGTTAAAAATATCTCGCCGTTGCTGAATGGCTCTGGTTTCTTCACCTTTCTCCTACAAAAGAGACGGCGGCCAATTGACCTTAATAACTGGTAGCTACCTTATAATAAATTATGCCAATTATGTCATTTATTTAGAATAACTTTTCTTCCTTCGCGTCGAGCTCTTATAAAATAATTATAAAATTATTTTACAAGATTACGAGATTTAAAAGCACGACTAACCTGTTTAATTAATTTGTCGGCTAAAGCATTGATAGTCTTGATTCGAGCGTCATCGACCCTCATGTCGCTGTCCACGTCGTCGAGCTTACGTTGCAGGCTCAAGCAGTGTTCGTAATCCTTTCCGATATCACCGGCTTGCACCATCATCTCCTTATCGCGAATCCACGCCTCGATTTTTTCGACTTGATTGTTAAAGTCGAGAATGTCCTGTGCCTCTTCGAGACCTCGGCCCCGATTTTCCGATTCAACCAGCAGCTTCTTCCACGATGAATGCAAGTGATCCAATTGTTGGCGGATTTCGCTACTGGCCGGATGTTTTTGCATAAGCAGCATTTCGCCCTTGACTGAATTCAACAAAAAATGCCGTAAGTGCGCAATGTCTGAATTTGGGCGTGATAATGCATAATTCTTTTTTAAAGAAAAGTTGATTGAACAGTCATCGTGCTTTTTGTGTGCGTGCGCTGTGCGTGCGTGCGTGAGTGAGTGTGTGTGTGCGCGTGTGGAAGAAACGATAGAATCCTCGTGGCGGTATTAGTGGTACGGCGGTTACAATCCCATTTCTCTGACCTTTGATCTCCTCGATTCTGCTCTGATTGGCAGCGAGCTCGGCCTGGAAGGCCTGATGCTTCTGTAGCTTCTTGATCTTGTCCTCGAGGCTCGAGACCTGTCCCTTTGAGGCCTCGGCTTCGAGCTTCTTCTGCTTCTCGCCGATCCACGACTCGGCTTCGCCCACGTCCCGGACGAACTGCGCGTGCAGTAATCCGGCCTCGAGCCTCGACCTTCTCGCGGAGCAGAGCTCGCGTATGCGCGCCCGCCTATGTATGACCTCGTCGAGGCGCTTAGCGATGGCACGTGCCTCGAAGTGATTCTGCGAGAGGAGCTTCGAGCCGTGCTCTTGGAGGGCCGTGAGCTTGTCCTCTTGGGTGAGCAGTAGCTTCTCGAACTCATTGTGCTTCTTCGCTTGGCCGTCGACCTCCTCAACGGACACGCCGAAGTTATCGTTGCTCAGGGCGGCCTCCTGGCTCGCCGACAAATTATCCAGTTGCTTTGCGTCCCGCAGGAAGAAATGAAGATCTATCAACTGGTCTAGGTGAATCTTTTTCTGCTGCCAGGCCGTGTGCAGCTTCTGCCGCTCCTCCAACAATTGGCTGCACTTCTCCTCCACCTCCTGACAACATTAACGAAACATTTTATTTGAAGATTAATAATACAGACGCGGTTTAATGGTAATCGTCGAATCATCATTTAGCACGTCAATAATTATGCACAAGCGAATCATCATTGCTATAATTGACGAGCGATCGACCTCGATGGATTACCATTGCCGATTGCTTTCCCCATCCGCATATTAAGCTTTCCATCTGTTCTTATACTTACACTAGCAGCGTAGTGCCCAGTTTGAACCATAGCTTCGCCAAGGTCGAGCACGCAACTAAACGTATCCTCCCGTGCCTCAATTTCGCCCTTCAAGGCTTCGTGTTCAGCTTTCAAGATTTGAGCACTGGCAGCATCGCGAACGTTGTCTTGCGTGGACATCGTCGCGCATAATCCGGCTGTCCAATTCATCAAATCTCGCACCTGCGACAGTACCCATTGATCAATTGCTTTACCCACGCAATTTGCCATTAGCTTCTTGGCTTAATTCCGACAATGATGAACATTGCCATTGTCTGTCATACTATTCCCAATGCTCGGCGAACGCTCGACCTACCTGAGTCAAGAATCTTTGAAGGTCGCAGCTGGCCTGCAATTGGTCGCGCCTGTGCGCTGCCCTCTCCTTCAGCTCATCCCAATTGGCCAAGACGATCTTCTGCTGCTGGTCAATGTGAGCGGCGTTGTTACCGGGATACAGCGCCTGCAGCCTCGCGGCATCCTCCACGAGTACCTGGACCTGAGCCTCTAAGGCGACGAGGTCGTTCTCAAAGCCCTCGTGGCGCCTGATGAGGGCCAGAACGGAGTTTAGATCGCGACCGAGGTCGTCGGGTAGGGCTGCCTTCTTTTCTTGAATGCGTGAAAGAGTCTCGGCCACGTCCCGATGGAAGCGATGTATCTCGCCGGCGGCCTGCAGTCGCTGCTCGCGATTGCGCACCAGCTTCAGCAGATGCTGCCAAGAGTCCCTACGAGCCAAACAGACGTATTAAAAATACGTTGGTCTTTTATTAGCCGATCTTGACTCTATCGAACGTCATTGTTATCATAATTGTTGTTATTAAAAGCCTCGAAAGTCAATAAAGAGATCGTTTAATGGCACGAGAGGCCTGCGTGACTCGAGTTCCATACTCATATTAAAAGGATGAAATTTTTGGAATAACGGTTAAGCGTAACAAGACAATATTAGTGGAACATTGATTGAACATTAGTTCTTCGAGCAATATGTCGATCTTTATAAATAGACAACGCGGTTTCAATAATTGTCACATCAATTATCGCTCGTAAATTAGAAAATAAACAGTCGATAACTTTATAGTCGTGTCTGGGCTTTGATTATTTGCTGTTTTTGTTTATATGTTTATTTGTGATTTTTGTTATTTTGTTATTTTTTTGTTGTTCTTTTTTGGTTCTTCGTTCTCTCTGTCATTTTATTTACTCGTCCCTTGCAATATATTGTAACTTATATGTATTACATACATGTTAGAAAATCATATTCAATAAAAAGACAACACACGCAAACGACTTACCATATGGACGCATGCAATTGAGCCACCTCCAGTACAGGATCGTCATCACCTTTTCTAATAAACGTATATACAAAAAAAGTAGTTAATGTTAGTTAACCCGTCGTCCATTATAAAACCATGCAACACCTTATTATTTAAGAAAAATTCATACGTAAACAATTGGCTTATTTATGAGACATGCAATAACAGTATCACCAAGTGTTCGGCCTCTACCACAGTACCCACCCACACACACACACATATCTGCTCGCCTATTTACGTCTTTGTACGAATTGCGCTTATGGAAAGGAGGGGGGCACACATGCGTGTATAAAGATACGCTGACCGAGACCGCCCGCTCCTACGAAATAAATCCAGAATGCAAAGCGAGCAACGAAGTTGCTCTCTTACCCAAGTTGCTGCTGCCGCTTCTCAATATCCTGTATGTAGGGACTCTCGTTGGCAATAAGCTTCTTGGCCAGCACTTGACACTGATTGAATCTCTCCGAGCCAGCCTCGATTCTGTGCTTAAAGTCGTTAAACTTGGCCTGGAGCAGCAACAAGTGCTCGTAATCCTGACCGTAATCCTCGGAGGCGGCGGTCTGCTCCTGCTCCTTGATCCACTGCTCGAGCTCGCGACTCTCGAGGAAGTACTCGTGTCGGTACATACTCTCCATGAGGCGCTGCTGGCGTAGAGTCGCCAGTCGCTGCAGCGACCTCACCTGTTGGGCGATGGCCTGCTGCTTGTTGGTGATCGATTTGCTGTCCGGGTGCTTTGCATTGATCATCGTTGAGGCGGTGTTGCCCATCTCCGTCACAATGCCATTGTACGTGTCGAGCTCGAGCTCCAGGGCCTACGTAACATTTAATTCGTATAATTTACCTACTTTATCCCAGCTAAGGGGCTAAGGGGGCCGCTGCTCGTGATTTATCAGATAATTTTGCATTACGATGGCTCGATCGATCGAGGATCGATGGCGAATAATATGCTCTGGACAATAATGTACCTTGTGTTTGGTAAGTAATTTCGTAGCTGCGTCGCGATCCCGTCCATAATCGGTCGAGTTGAGTACGTCGTTTTTCTCAACTAGCCAACTTTCCACTTCGCCGGCTTCGAAGAAAAATTCCTGAGCCTTCAACGAAAGGTCGAGTGTGTGGCTGCGCTCCGCCCCTTTGTCTCGAAGATTCTTCCAAGCATTACTCAAAGTGTCGCATAGATCTTGTATCTGCGTAAAAATAATTGGGAAGTGTTACGAGGACATTATTGGAGGTGGGCTTATTGTTTTTGTTGCAAAGCTACAAGATAAAGAAATCGTTGTGGAATTGCGTGTGGTAAACGTGACGTTAAAACCACGTAACATCCATTCTGTGTCAAAAAAATTTTACCGCTGGACACTGCATTGTGAACATCGTGCGAGTACGACGAGCTAAGGCACCCGAGAACACCGAAATTGTAAAAACTTACGAACTTACGAATTTACGTAAATTTCACAGAGATAAAGATAATTATTACAACAATAGCAGCGGCAGCAATAACAACAGCAGCAACAGCAACAGCAACAGCAACAGCAACAGCGGAAGTAACAGCAATAATAACAGCAACGGCAATAACAAGAGCAACGGCAGCGGAAACAACGACAAATAAAGAAAGCCATAACAAAACTGATTGGGAAGCATTCTTTTGTTTTTTTGTTTTTTTAAAGAATTCTTCTCGTTTCTTAAAGCATGATATTCAAAAAAATACACGCTCACTGTATTTTATTTGCGCGTGCACTTTTTGCCTCGTACGACCCTTTCGCTTACCTCAACTAACGAAACCACAAGGTGCATTGGTGCTCCGACTCTATAAAAATTGTACGATTGCATTTGTATTATTACGTCAACGTTTAATCATTCGATAGAAATGTACGTGTGTTCAGCCGACATTCCAGATAGTAAAGTATTCGAGCATCAAAATCATATTTAAATTATCAAGTGTCCATTCATCATCACGGTGATAATAATATCAACGTCCTTCTCTTTCTCTGCCGATACGTTATAAAATAATTGCAGTGCTTCGTGCGCGCGCGCGAGAGAGAGAGAGAGAGAGAGAGAGAGAGAGAGAGAGAGAGAGAAAGTACGACGTTCATATTACAAAACTTTTTTATACTCTATAAGATAAAATTCTTGATCGAAGCTGGAGATAATAACCGAGTAGTGAGCTCCAAAAAGTACAATCGCTTATCTCGGATGTCAATGATTAATTAACTTTACTGTCAATTTTACCTTCTCTCGCTCGGGATGCATTTGATCGATAAGTCCTTGGCCGGAAGCAAGTGTCTTCATTATCATCGGCTCGTGTCCCGTAACCTCCGCTTCAAATTTCTTATGCTTCTTGTGTAAGGATTGCGCCTGATGTAAATTTTGTCCCAACATCGTGGACGACGCCTGGGGCAAATGATCGTTGATCCATTGCAATTCCGCGTCCAACTCGAAGCCAAACTTATGGAAACGCAGACTCTCCTCCAAAGCTTCGCGACGACGCTTTGCCGGCTCATTTAGGCTCTGAAATCTGGGCAAATGGGATTTAGAATAATGGCCTGTAAAAGCCATTTAGAGTGTTTAAGCGCGTGGCGAGTAAAAACATTTTTAAGCCCCTACTTCTTCTGCGTAGCTTGACTAGTTTTCAAAATATTTGGAGCATCGAAGTGGCCCTCGTGAGCCATCTCCTGCCCCATCGTCACGAGGTCGTTCACCTTCTGCCCCCATTGTACAAGTTTCGTCTCCAACATTTGATGCTTCTTCAAAAGATCTTTGCAGCTGCGCAGATCTTTGCCAACTTCTTTGCTTGAAAGAGAATTTTCGATCTCCTCTAGGTCGAGTCGCGCGTCCTCGATGATGCGATTGTATCCGTGTTGGGCGGCTGCTTGTCGCAATCTTCTGCCTTTCTCCAAAGACAGGACAACCAGCTGATCCCATTGTTCATTGAGATCCTTTAGAATTTTACCAACGTCCTCGGATCTGGCAAGCAACGGAAAGCACTTTATAATTTCGTTCGTACAACGTTAGAGTACAAGAGAGAGAGAGAGAGAGAGAGAGAGAGAGAGAGAGAGAGAGAATAGCGAGCCTTGCCTATAATTTTCCTCGGATATGAGAGCCTTGCCGGCCTTGTTCACAGCTCTCAGTTGGCCCTCGTTGGCCCGGAGCTCGCGCTCGAAAGCCTCGTGCTTCTGAAGTTTGCGTTCGAGGTTGTTCAAGTCTCGATAAGTCTCGTCGGATGCCGTTTTCATTTTGTCATACAGCCAGTCCCGCAGATCATCCACCTCGGCCGAGAACTGCTGGTAGTACTCCGAAGCCATGAGGGCGGCTCGCCGACGCTGCGCAGCCTCCTTCACGGTTGCCCTACGCGCGATAACCTGGTTCCTCTTCTCGTTGATGTTGCTCTTGTCGTAGTGGTTCTGGCCGATGAGCTTATCAGCCACGTCACTAAAGATCTTAAGCCGATCGTCTTGGGCGTGAAGGGTGTTCTCGAATTTCTCGTGCTGTTTGAGTAGAGCCTCGACGTCGTCGAGCGACTCGCCGAGGTCCGCGAACTCGAGGAAAGTCGCGTGAGAGCTCGTACTCGCGTCGATCTGGTCGGCCTCGCGATTGAACTGCTGCAGCTCGAGGCACTGCTCCAGCCAGGCCTGCTTGGACAGCCAGGTCGTCGACACCGAGTCGTAGAGGCCACGAAGCTTGTCGTGGCGCTCCTTTATCTCATTTAGCGATGGATTTCTCAACAGCAACTGGCTACCCAAGGCCTCGACCTCCCGGAATCTACAAAATTGCACGACCTCGCCTTCAGTACACTGGCTAATGAATAACGCAGGGCAGCCCTTGCATACTTGCCCTAACGCAAGCTGGTGCCACCCTCGTCAAAATTTTAAACAATATATATATATATTGATAAGGATAATCGACGGAGCTACTCACTCGTCCTCCTTCGTCTTGATCTCCTCGCCGAGTTCCACGTGCTGTTTTCGCAGTTTCTCGGCAGTCGCGATGTCCCTCACCGGCTCCTCCACCTTCATCGTCTCGTGCGTGTCCGTCGCCCAGCCGATCAAGTTCTTGGAGCTATTCATGAAAATCTGCTGGCCAACCGCGTCCTCCAGTCGAGAGCGGCGCTCTATTGCTTTCGACTGCACCTGGTGCCACAGGTCGCGTATCTCATTTTGTCGCTGATTCACGTTTCCGAGCTCGTTCGGGTAGGTGCTCTTCACGCTGTTTGCCAACAGATTCACCTTCCTCACCTTCTCCTCGACCGGGGCGAGCTCGCGCTCGAGGTGTTGGTGCCTCCTCTGTAAAGCCTGCACTGTCTTAAGATCCGGGCCGATCTCCGCGGTATCTAGCTGCGTGATCTTCTCGAGCATCCAGTCGTGCGCCTCGTCGCAGGTCCTGTTGAATAGCTCGACGCTCGATGCTCCCTCGAGGCTCTTCTCCTTCTGGGCCTTGAGCCAATTGAGATGCTCCCACAGCTGGTGTATGTGCCTCTGCCTGGCGCGGACCTTGTCGAGCTGACCGTGGCCCTGCTCGACAAAGTCCTCGACCGCAGCGTCGATGGCCTCGACCCTCTTCCCGGACGCAGACAGGTCCGTGAGGAACTTTTCGTACTTGCGCTTGGCCGTCTCAACATTGTCCCGCGAGTCGTCCGCGTTCAGCATCTTCTCCCTATCCCTGATCCACTTCTCAAAGTCGTCGCATTCCCGATAAAAGCCGTGCAGTCGTATCGCGTCCTCGAGGAGGCCGTAACGGCGCGACGCCAGCTTCTGCAGCTGCTCGTACGTCTCGTTGATCTTTTTCATGCGCTTCTCGAGGCTGTCCGCGTCACTTGCCGCCGGTCGACGGCTCACGGGCTTCACCACCGAGCGCGGTGACTTAACCTGCCGCACCAACACCACCTGGCGCACCATTCGCGTCTTCTTTACACGCTGCGTCAATCTCACGCGCTCGGGCTTCCGCACTTGAACCTGTATTTAAACAAAGGCGAGGTGAGTGTCTGTGTGTGGCCAGACTCGTTCGTCGTCACGGCAATTTTTTCTTTTTTTTTTAATCGCGGTGGAACTACTTAGAACTACATAGAACTACATAGAACTACTTAGAATTACATAAAACTACGCGTAACTACATAGAACTACGTCGAACTACGTAGAACAACATATAGAACTACATTAAACTACATAAAACTACCTACAACTAAATAGAACAACATAAAAGTACATAGAACTACACTCCCGTTCTTGGCAGCTGCTAGGCGTTTCGAATTGAGCCTTTCGCCAGAGCTCACCAACACAATACATCGCTGCCATGGATCGTTAGCTTTTTATGTGCATTAATTTCAATCATGGCAGAATTCATGCCAAAAACGAGTTGTGTTAAAAATAATTAATTGCCGTGAACGTGAATCGATGTACAAAAGTCTCACCTGAATGATTTTGGGCTCGATCTCGCGAACGTAACTCGCGGGTACGAAGCCATCCGTCCCGTCGGCCTTCCGCACGCTCCACCAGTCCGGATTGGTCTTATTCAACAGCAGCATAGTCTCGCCCTTGGTCATCTGCATGCCCTGTCCACTGAATGGATAGAGGCTCCTCACCTGAGGCACAAGCCTCTCATCGAGGACGGTACGTGGCTCGGTGCACTCGACGGTCTCGTCGACCCATTCGTCCTGTGGCACTAGCCGCACTTCCTGTATCCACTCGTCCTGCTCGAGGTCCGCTAGGGGTTCCACCTGCTCGCTGTCCTGACCGGTATCAGTCTGCAACGAGGACACACCGGCCCGCTGAAGCCGTTCCGCCTGGACGTTGAGTGATTGCAGGTCCCCACTGTACGCGTTCAGCTCGCCTTCGAGGTCCTTGTGGCGTTGCAATAATGCCTGAGCACTGGGTTCGTCCACTCCGTAATCCTCCGACGTCACTAGGGCCATCTTCTCCTTCATCCACGAATCCGCCTCGTTCGCGTCCGCGCAGAACTACGATTTTCATACATCCATTAGACAGCCGAAATTTTCACTTAAGGTTACTTTCTCATACAACTTATGAGTGCGCAGCCAAAAAACTTCTATTCATTATTTGCCATCATCATCATTATTACTATTATATCACGAAATCAAAAGTGTCTCGAAGCGACTATTTATATAACCGTCGTTTGTAATTTCATTGAAGGATAATCAAGATTATTTTTTACATTTATATATGAATACTTAAATCAAAGGGAATTCGTCGTTAAGTTAAGAATTAATTTGAAAAACGGTCGAGACACGAATGACTAGATGGATACACGAGAGAGAGAGAGAGAGAGAGAGAGTCATTAAACAGTAAGAACAGCTTCATTACACAAGCTTGCAATATAAAAGAAGTAGAAAAAAATTAAAAAAAAGTAAAAAAGTAAAAAAAAGTATAAGAAGTACATGTTCCCGAGTTGCTCGTCGCACTCCCTTGTACTACCTACGGAACTACTGGTTGTTCCAATTTACCGAGATTTTAACAGAAAAAATCGAAATACATTTATGCACTTCACAAATTTAAATAATTAAAATTTAATTAAAATTATCCTTGATAATATTAACAATAGACTGCTTAGAAAATTTGCCTTAATATGAATATGCAACTGAAAGTATTTCGAATAATTCTATAGATTTCTGGTCACTTTTATATAACGTATAATAATATTTGTAACGTTGTCATGGCGTTTTACATCGAATAAAATTCGCAAACGTCCAAAATCAAACGATTGCGTGACTCGAGGGTAATATGCTCGAGTCGTGCATTCATTACATGAAGATTTAGTACCTGTAGCGCTTCGCCGGCCTCCTCCAGCTGCTTCTTCCTCAAAGCAAGTAATTCCTCGAGGATCCTCCAGTGCCCCAATAGCGACTCCAATCTGTTTTCAATTTCCGGTGCTGACGGATGCTGCTCGCAAACGAGTCTCTTGCCTGCCTGGCTGAGCTGCTCCGACTTTGGCCTCCTCGTCTTCGTCTCGTCCTCCAGAGCTTTGTGTTTCTGCTGCAACGATATCAGTGCCCGTAAATCTTTCGCCAATATTCCGGCCCGGCAGATCCGCTGGCGTTCCACCAGCCACGACTCCTCGTCCTCGTGATCTTGCAGAAACTGGAAGAAGTTTCGTGCATCCTCCAGCCTCGCTTTACGCTCTTTGCTGTACTCTCCTAAAAGTGTGCAGAGGCACGATGAGCAAATACAGTTGCGGCTGTTTCGAGTGACCGACTTGTCGTCGAGGACTCGTTTATAACTAAAATCATATGAGCGGGGCGGAGTGGGGGAAGGCACTGGTAAAGGAACAAGGTTTAGTGAAAAAAAAGGTTTAACGCTATCAAAAGAGTATTATAATGCGTGTTTAAAAGAACGAGTGACCGAGGGAGCCGAGCAGATGGCAGGACCCTTGTATACGTACATAGTATACTTTGATATATTATTGATATATTAATATAAAATGCGAAATGCAAGAATACGTGCATATACCAGGTGACAGTTTTGTTGGAAGATTAAATAAGCCGTGTTCAAGGAGCCACTAGTGCAAAGGCTATACACAAATGTAGGAAAGCCCAGAAGACTGTTTATAAATTGAAAAAAGAGAAAGAGAGAGAGAGAGAGAGAGAATTATTTATATATAAATATATTATTTAGGGAGCGGGGCAAGGGCGAAAGAGACGGCATGCAATTGAAAGCAAATAGCTTTACCGAGTTGTCCGTAAGCTTTGTTGAGTTGGTCGATCTTGGCCTCGAGTACAGCGGCCTCCTTACCGAGGACAGGCGCGCCCTGGAGCGCCTGACCCGCCACCTGGCTCTGAAGCTGCGTCGCCTGCCTGCCGAGCCGACGCTGACTTTCACCGAGTGCCGTCACCTGAAGCTCCTGCAGACTGTGTCTCTGTAGAAGGTCCTCGACCCCGAGGAGATGGGGTCCAACCTCGGTGCTCTGGAAGCAGAGCTGCAATTCCTGGAGGCTTGCGAGCGTCGTCTCGATCTCGCGCATCAAGCTCATGAGGGCGCAGAGGGCCGACAGATTGGCCTTGTGCCTGTCGAGGAGCCCGAGGAGCTCTCGCCAACGCTGGAGCACCTGCTGCTCGCGTGCCCTCACCCGGTCGAGCCCGTGATACTTCTCGCGCACGAGCTCCTCCGACATGTTGGTCAGGTCGTGGAAGCGCTCCTCCCGCGCGAGAATGTCCGCGCTTATGGCCTCGTGCTTCTTCACGGTCGCGTCCACCTGGGCGAGGTTGCTGCCGTAGCGCGGATCCGAGAGTACCTGAATCATCTCCTTGAGGTAGCCCTCGCGCAGGACGCTCTTTCGCTCGAACTTGTAGTTCAGCTGCTCGAGTCGCTCCTGCCGCAGGAGCTCGCTGCGCAGGGCGACCTCGCGCCGGTGCTCCGCCCGTTCCAGCTCGATCCACTTGCGCTCGATGTCGTTCACCAGCTGGCCTTCCTGAGGCACGAACGCCGGCTGATCGAGAGACTTGAGCCGTGTGTTTATGTGGAAGAAGAGGGCCTCGATCTCCGAGCGCTCCTTATACTTGGGTGGCTTCTCCACCGTGCGGTACTGCTTGAACGCGAGCAGTTCCCGCTGGATGCCTTCGAGGGAATTCGGGAACTCCCGGTCCTCCAGCACCGCCATCTTCAGCTTGATCCACTCGAGAAGCTCGCCCGTCAGCTTACCGTAATGGACCTTCATCTTGTCCGCGTCCATCATTTGGCCGACGATCTGTTGGGAGACGTGTGGAAGGCTCGTCATTTCCGTGATATTGGCATTATTGGGCATCGAGGCATATTTCAAACACATTTTTGAAGCAGATTTAACGGCTTATCGATTGCTAATCTCAACTATATAGGGTTTATTTTTTATGCATTGGGGATACTGTTTAACATGGCGTATAATTGCGAGAATGAAATTGCGTGTGAAATGGATCGCGGCAATTTGACGCGTAGAGTGCAGAATTTTGTGGTTATCATTAACTTCGAGAGGGGGGGGGGAATAAACGCCGTAAGTAAAGTAACTTGAATGACAGAGGATAATGCGATACTCACGTTTGCGATCCTTTTGCCGCTTTTGATTTCGTTCTTCATTCTGGCGAACGTGTGGTAGTAGGAGGCGACATACGTCATGATGGATTTTTCGTCGGGGCGGGCGGTGTCGACGTCCTCGGCGTCGAGAAGCCGCGGAATGCCAAGCTCCGAATTCGCCACGTCGAAGGCATAATTCAGATTGTCGATGTGCTTGGTTTGTTGAAGCTCGGACCACTTGACCAGGTCCGGTCGGTGCGCGTGGATGAGGGCGTTGAAGCCCAATCCGCTTCTCCATGATCCTGAGCGCAGTCAATTACAAGTGTTATTCAAGTCGGGTGGCAATTGCACGCGATGGGCCGCCCGTCGCCTAAAGTTGGCCCATATCGTGACTTTTTCACGATGAGATACAATAGGTATCGAATATAATTATGGATAAAGGAAGCAATGAGGTAGATTTCTCGTAGCGTTTGCATTACGAACTCCATGAGATTAAAGTATAACGAGTTGAGGAAAATTGAGAGAATTTATTAAAGTCCACAGACAGAGGATTGATGGGAGATTAATGTAGCGACAAAGTGCTGTGCACGAAACGTGTTGAACGTAGAAATTTTTAAAACGTAACGGTTGCATATTGTTCGACAATAATTTCTTTTATGTGAATTGAATAGAATATAGGTTTGGAGGTGCGAGGGGTCGCGATATGTCTCGATGTTTTCGCTTGAAACGAAAGTCGAAGTCCTCTATCAATTTTAGTGACAGTTAGCAACATATTTTATGCGGAGCACAATCTGAAAAATCTGCTGTAACTATTGGTTCCGCCGTAGGAATAAAATTTCCTTTCGGACGAGTGAAATCCATTTCGTAATGGGCGTGCAAGTAGCGAAAATGAATTTGGCTCGAAGAATTTTAAAGCGATGTACGAGCACCGAATGCAAATTAAGTACGCGCAAGCACGCGCAAACCGTCGCGTACGCACGCATGGAATATGTTTTCATTTATCGGTTAATGGTTAAATCAACTTTTTAAATAGAAACTTTCGGAGTATGTAAATGTCCGATGCTCGTACTTTATTACGTAGTTAAGCATCGAGCCGAATGTGTCAAATGGCTTTGTAGTCGCGAACAAATAATGGTTCGTGCGCAATTAATAAATTCGATTAATGCCGGATTGATAATTTTTTGTAAATTAGCCAGTTGGTAAAACAATCACATCTTGACAATATTTACATTGAATTCCAATTAGCGGGGTAAAATATCACGTTATCGATGTTTTCACACCCATTTGTGTGCGGCGATTAGTCATTATTCATTAAAATTCGTTGGCACTAATGATAATATTATATTTCTAGCCAAGAAAATTCATCGTTCGCTTAACTGTGCCGGAATAATAAATAAATTAAAAATATAACATTCCACTGAAACTCGATGGTACCTCGAAAAAGTCTCTGTCAATCAAAAAAGCAATCCGCCCATAATGAAAGAATAGAATGAGAGAGAGAGAGAGAGAGAGAGAGAGAGAGAGAGGGAGAGAGAGGGAGAGAGACAGAGAAATTATTGGATGGCATACCCGTGAAATCTTGAATGTTTACACCAGGATATCCGTTTGTCTTCCTTTGACACCAGAGTAGTAATGCGTCCTTGGCCGATTTCTTTTCGCTGCTCTCATTTTCTTCGTCGACATCGATCTCGATCTCTTGGATTTGGAATCGCAGGATTATCGTCCATATCAAACCAAGAATTAAACGGGGATTTCCATCCACGATATCCTCCGCGCCGATACTTTCTAAACGTACCTGATGAAAATAATGAAGAAAAACAAAACAAAAAAACACGCTTAATTTATACTCTTTACGACGTTTTCAACGATATTTTGAAGGGAAAAATAAGTGCGCTAAGTTTTTGTGCTAATACGCTGCGCCAAGGCTTCGTAATTGGTCGTTTCAACTAACGTCTTAACTAAAAACAAAGACACAAAGGTTATTTACGTTTACATATGCTCTGCAAACTCAATCAAGATGTTTCCTGTTTTTAGCCTTTATTCCTTAACCTTCGGCGTCGCCTCTAACGATATCGCACTTGACGCTCAATCATAATGCTCAAATAGAATATTACATCATACGGGTAGGGAAAACTTGAGCGTGTTTACGGTGGTCATCCGACGTTGTTTCATTAACAGCGTTCGCGCCATCACAATCGTGCATCGGGCAGATAATTGACCTTTGGAAATTAAGAGCACAAGCTTACCGACTAGCAGTTCGCGTGGGCGCGGTGGCAGGATGCTGGATGGGGATATAGAAAGCAAGAAAACAATGAAAAAGCTTGTCATTGAGTGGAATCGATAATAATAGGGCATAAAGTAATTGATTGCCGATAAAATGCTGCTTGCAAAAGCCACTCGTCTTCCATTCACAAGTCTTCCCAAAAAGAAAACAATCGCTAAAATGCCCATGGCTTCACCGCCAATACAAACGAACGACTCCACTACGGATTTTCTTCCACAATAGATATTTTTTTTTCCATTGCAAAGAATGAGTGGGGAGGAAGGAGGAGGAATAAGGTGATTTCCCTTTTCACCCGGTCTTGGCCGTAATTTGTTGTTCACCGATAAACGGTACAATGTACAGCACTTCAATGTACTGCACTGTGCTCGATAATAATACTATGTACGCGCATAAGTTTATTATAGCCAGAGTTCGTTATTTAAAGAAAATTGTTTAAAATTATTACAATGCCACGTATTATACGCATCAGCGACGCCTAATGCACGGAATTGTTAATTGTTCCATCCTTTGCGAGCACACCTTATTGAAATAATAACGCTACAAGGCCACGCCTATTATACGCTGCGCGAAGGAATCAAGAGGCGATAGAGTTAAACTTTCTAAAAATTCGATCGATGCAAAGCCGGGGGAATGGTAAAAGTCCCGTGTCGCGATAAGTCTTGTCGTTCGACTCTAAGTGGCGTTATAATGACTCATCCTAACTCATCCGAATTACTAATCGTCGATGGGAAAGACGAAAACTGAGATTCAACAGAATCAGCACAGCCTTTTTGATGAAAACGAGTGCGAAACAAATATTTATTTATTTCTAACGTTATTAGCGAATGAGCGCGCGTTTCTGGGCGCGGAAAAAAATTTACCACGCAATGTCACTTACCAAGGTATTATCGATGGTAAGATTATTTCGGGGACCACCGCGAATTTTTATTTCCCCCGCCGATTATCGGCAAACGCGCCTTAGGAACGTATGCACCGATATATCTCGCTCAACTCGCTAGTTATAGTCTGCGCTAACGGCCCATTATTTCCCCTAGCAATGTTATTACATTGATTGCGCTTTCCGAGAAAAATCTATTTTTATTAACGCAGAATAAGCGACGGTCTTTCAAGGCATACGTTCAAATAATGCGCTTCGCCTTTAAAAATTAAGTTTTATCGCGCGCTCTTTTTAAGGCATAAATAAGGCTTTAAGTTTTTATTCCGAGGATTTATTTTACAGCCATTTATTAGCCAACCGGCCGTTTTTGCAAATTAACTAACTTATTCGCCGGGCCTCTTCCTAAGCGATAAATTTGAGAGACCAACGGCAAATAAAAACAGAACGAGGGCAAAACTTAAAAGAAGAAGAAGAAGAGGAGGAAGAAGAAGAATATGAGGAGGGGGATGGGGGGGGGGGAAGAAAGGGAAAGAAAAAACGAATTGAAATAAAAGTAATAATAAAAGAATATTGAGACGAGCGTGGTTTGCTTGGCGAAATTTTCCCTTTTTGCTCGCGAATTCACAGCCAAATTCTTGCACGATCCATTATTGTATTTAATAATAGCGGTGGCAAAGAAAGCCTGATAAAACAGAAGG